CCCCAAAACCCCAAAACCCCAAAACCCCAAAACCCCAAAACCCCAAAACCCCAAAACCCCATATAAGTTTAGGAAATTTGAAAATCAAAATTTCTATAGAATCATGAGTGTTTTATTCCAACAGGATTACACTGCTTTAGTAGAATATTGATGAGAAGACCTTGTAGAAGGCGAGCATGGAACATCTGCTCAAGAGCCGATCAAATTACCCATCTTGTTTAGTAATTTCAACAACGTTCCTGTACCCACTCTGTTAGACCCGATAGATACAGGACTTAAGAAGGATGCTGTATATAACGGGTGTGCTAACCGGCAGCTGGGAAAACCTAAAATAGAAAAATTTTACAGAATAATCCCAGATTCAGAAGCATCAAATCAAGAAAAGTCTATCTTTCTTGCTAAAACAACTGTCCTTTCCAAATCCGTAACTGAGATAAGGCGAATTTCTTTGTCAGAAATCGACAAAATGTCCAATCAAACAGAAAGAGAGTTCTGAAGAACATTTAGAGATAAACACACTTATCGGACAAATGAAGATTCGAAAGAGATGAATGATGCATCTAAGAATGAAGAAATTCTTACCAAAGCTTTGAAGCCAATCGGGACTGTAATTTCAAATAAATCAAGCGACCTCCATTTTCAGATGGATAAGCCTCTTGATGAGAATATTGAGATTCTCAAGGACTATGAGTATTCAATTAGTTATCTCCCTAGCAAGGGCCCTCGAAGAAGGAGAAGGATTCTTCATTGCAAACATAATCATTGCAAAAAATCTTTTTACAAAACGTGGAACTTTATTGACCACGCTAGGATGCATTTGGGCATAAAGCCTTACTCGTGAGACCTCTGAGACGCTAAGTTTACTCAAAAGGGGAACCTCCTGAAGCACATAGCACGCCACGATAATTAGAGAACCATAAAAATATTATATCTAACCATTGTGAATTTCTTAAATTTTATAAACAAACAGACCTCAGGAAGAATTTCTGGTCGTAAGGAACAACTGCTCTACTTCAGCATCACCAGATTATTGAAGCAAAAATTTGAAAGAGGATATATGACAAGATATTCCCCTCTTCCCCTACTACCTGAGTTTGTCCACACCGATCAGAAATTAAAATAAAGAATGATCGACAGTGTTCAACCTGCGCAGGAAGAATTGGGGTTTTGGGGTTTTGGGGTTTTGGGGTTTTGGGGTTTTGGGGTTTTGGGG